TCAGCATTATGTGAGAGTGTATATCCCCACAGGCTTCCCCAAGGGCCTAGGTGGTCAAACTTTTTGATGTTTGCTATTCTGATATATGAAAAATGTTATCTATGTCATTTTGGTTTGCATTTGTCTTAAAGTTGAATACCTTTTCTCAGTGTCTACCTCAACACTGTAGTGAGGATTAAATGAGTAATTGCAAGTAAGGAATGTATTACACAACTAACATTCTTTAAATTATAATGTATTATATTGAATTATATATGAATTATATTATAATGAAATTGTTAGTGCTCTCTCTTTGTGATAGATGGTGCTAATGACTTCAGTCATATTATCTCTGACCTGAAGTTCAGGCTAGGTGGCATCTCTTGGGTCACACGATTACTAAGGATTGCTCTCTTTCCCTCCGTCTTAGTGTTCAAGATTAACCACTAATGGCAATTAGATTGGTTTCTTTTCAACACCTCTATTTAAAAACAATTAGTTTTGTACATTATTTAGATGTATCTTTTTAAAAATAAGACAATGCTGTATATTTTTAAAATTGCTTTTTCTCTAATCCATGCTGTTTCACTTTGTGCGTGTGTGTGTGTGTGTGTGTGTGACAGCTTTATTAAGATACAGTTCATGTACCATACAATTCATCTGTTTTGCTGATTGACTTTTGACAAGGCCTGCACTTGTTTTTTTTTGCCCAGTAGTGGTAAATCTGTTTGCTCTGCCCACTCTCAGTTTCACCAAGAGCAACAAGTAGCTGAACAAGAGTAACCATTAGCGGATGTGCATGTACACCCACACCCAATATTACATTTAGTAGAATGTGTTTGCAAGAGTTCAGGAGTCATTTCTGAGGTTACAGAACAGAAAAAAAAATCTTACTATCCCCTGCTGAGATCTCATCCATTAAATTGTTTTCTTAAAGTCTAGATTTAGTAGTTGGCAGTGTGTAGAGCATGTTTTTGTGTATTTATAGACTTGTGATACCTAGTGTTTTTAAAAAAGCCAGATGAGATATAACTGAATAATAAAGGTCAATTTTTAATCAAGCTCGTTAGTTAATGAGAATGTCTTATGCTTTTGACACATAAATCTTTAAAGGATCTCAAGATCTTCTCTGTAGAGGAATGTAGACATTGAGGTCCCAGTGTATCGGATATGCACACCTATAAAATTTAAAGCATCAAGTAAAAAAAAAAAAAGACTCCCGTTTTCCTCACTTCTATTTTCCGTCGGCAACTGCTATTCACATTTTGTGTTTATGCTACCAGCTTTTTGTGTGTGCTAAACAAATGCTTCTGTTTTATTTTTTTAGTATTTTTGGTTTTTTTTTTTTTTTGAGGAAGATTAACCCTGTGCTAACATCTGCCGCCAATCCTCCTCTTTTTGCTGAGGAAGACTGGCCCTGAGCTAACATCCGTGCCCATCTTCCTCTAGTTTATATGTGGGATGCCTACTACAGCATGGCGTGCCAAGCGGTGCCATGTCTGCACCAGGGATCCGAACTAGTGAACCCCGGGCCGCCGAAGGGAAATGTGTGCACTTAACCGCTGCACCTCTGGGCCGCCCGCTTCTGTGTTTTAAATGAAAAGGGATAACATCTCATCTACAGCTTATTTGGGTTAATGATAGATTATGGATATCTTGGCATACAATCACTCGATTGATACATAGAGTAATGGCTTCATGTTATTTCACAGTAAGCACATATGGGAGTTTAATTCATACTTCTCTAGTATAAATGTTATGTTCTATTATAATTCACTTACATACATTTCTGCTTTTTTATTTTTGCCATTTGGATGGATGAAAAAGTTACATTTATTTTCATTTGTTTGTCTTCTGGTAACAACTTTTGGTTTCCACTTAATTGATATTGCGTATTCCTGTCCTTTCCTGACTATTCTATTGAGTCATTTTCCTTTTCCTTTCCTGTGGGAGTTCTTTACATTGAGTAGTAACTCTTTACATGTATTGCAAATATTTTCCCAGTCTATCATTTGACTTTTGAATTTATTTATGGCATTATTTCTTCTACCTTTTTGACAGCTACACATATCAAGAAATAAATACATTTTCTGTTGTGATTCGGTGACAGACACATACAAACGCATACATAGAAGATTTGCATCGTGAGGCCGACCTAGTGGCGCTGCGGTTAAGTTCTTGCTCTCCGCTTTGGCGGTCCAGAGTGTGTGGGCTCAGATCCCAGGCACAGACCTAGCATCGCTTATCAAACCATGCTGTGGCTGGCATCCCACATATAGAGTAGAGGAAGATGGGCACAGATGTTAGTTGAGAGCCAATCTTCCTCAAAAAAAGAAAAGAAAAGAAAAATTTACACAGTAATACTTATCTTTACTAAATGTAGTGTACTCTTATTTTTCTTTACTATTCCATTAAAAAAACCCACTTGTCGCAAAGCACTAAACTGGTATTGGGACTCATGGATTATGATCAGCAATTTGAAAAGCACTATATTATGGTGTTTTTGCTTTTAAAATTTTTAATATTATATGTAATCAGAGAAGTCTATCTTGTCCTTTATGAGGCCTCACCTTTTACTTTTGCTTTGGAAGATTCCTACTTTCTAAATTTTCTTTTCTTTTCTTTTTTGTTTTTAAAGATTTTATTTTTTTTCCCTTTTTTTTTCCTCCCCAAAGCCCCGCGGTACATAGTTGTATATTCTTCGTTGTGGGTCCTTCTAGTTGTGGCATGTGGGACGCTGCCTCAGCGTGGCTCAATGAGCAGTGCCATGTCCGCACGCAGGACCCGAACCAGCGAAACACTGGGCTGCTTGCAGCGGAGCGCAAACTTAACCACTCGGCCATGGGGCCAGCCCCTCTAAATTTTCTTATTCTTACATCTTTTTTGTATTTAAATTATTAATATATCTAGAATTTTTGTTGCATGTTATGATCAAATTTCCCTCTTGTGTCATTAAGAAATTGATACTTTCTCCACTGCTTAGAAATGCCAACACTTTAATAATAAATTATTAAATATTCTTGAGTTCAGTCTAATTCATTTATTTACCCTGTATGTTAAAAAATTTTGCTTTTTAATATTACAATTTTTTTATACTATTGCTTTTTTAAAAATATTGGCTATTATTTCAGATTTGCTTTTTAAAAGTTATTGCTGAAATATAATGTACAGAAAAAACATATATACAATAATTGTATATTTTGATGAATTTTAACGAATTGAACATAAACTGTGTAACCTGTATCCTGATCAAGAAATTAGATATAGTTTATTTCGACTAAAATTGTTTAATTATACAGTTGGGTGATGTTTACATATTTTATATTCTGAATGTAACTATTGCCCTCCTGAACTCTGACTCACTTTTTTAGACAATACTCCTGATTTTTCTATGGAAAATTTTTGAGAAAATTCAACAACAGTTGTATCATCTTCATTCAGCAAAAAGTCTCCTAGTTTTTGGTATCTATGTTTCTCTCTCCTTGAGATGCTGACTAGAGCCTCTGGAGCCATGTTAAATATTAGTAGTACAGTATTATCTTTCTCTTTGCTCCTGACATCAGTGGAAATGCCCCTACTGTCTCAATTCCTGTGATAGAATTTTGGGTGAGCTGTTTCAAGGTTTTGAAAAATAGAGATTAGGGGCAGAATAGGGTGTGATTGCTTAAGGGGTACACAGTTTCTCTTAGGGGTGATGAAAATGTTCGGGACTTAGATAGAGGTGGTTGTTGCACACCATCGTGAGTATACTAAAAGCCACTGAATTGTACAATTTTAAATGGTAAAATGGTTAGTTTTGTTTTATGGGAATTTCATCTCAAAAATTTTTTAAAAGATTCTATCATTCCCCACTCACTAGAATGGGTAAAGTGAAAAGGCAGAAAATACTCACTGTTAATAAGAAGGTTAATAATAAGAACAATTGGAGCTCAAATAATTACGGGTGGGAGTGTATATTGATAATCACTTTAGAAAATTCTTTGGCCTGTCTACTAAAGCTGAAGGTATATATGGATACACACACTTCCTTTGACCCAGCACTTCCACTCCACCCAATGTGTTTATATGTTCACCAAAAGAGAACAGTTAATAGGTTATAGCAGTGTACTTGTAATAGCCAAAAACTAAAAATAACTCAAATGTCCATCTATAGTAAAATAGATAAATACATTGTAATATATTCAATCAATAGATTACAAGTATACTTAGCAACATGGATGAATCTCACAAATATAATTCTGAGAAAAGGAAGTGAGTTATGTAAAGTTTGCAAATAAGCAAAAGACATCTATGATAGACGTCAGAGCAATGGTTACCGTTTGGTGAAGTGATCACTAAACAGGAGTTTCTTGGATAGGATCTGAGTACACAAGTGTTCATTTTGTGAAAATTCAACAAGCTAGATACTTATGATTTGTACGTTTTTCTGTGTTTATGTTCTACTTCAGTAGTTTGCATTACAATAATCGATATTGCCCATTGAATGGTACCATTGTAAAAATACTTGTAAAATTTATTTGTAAAAACAAATGAATATATCAGAATATTAACAGGCATGGGGCCGGCACAATGGTTAAATTCACACGTTCCCCTTTGGCAGCCCGAGGTTCACTGGTCCGGATCCTGGGTGCGGACATGGCACCGCTTAGCAAGCCATTCTGTGGCAGGCGTCCCACATAGAAAGTAGAGGAAGATGGGCATGGATGTTAGCTCAGGGCCAGTCTTCCTCAGCAAAAAGAGGAGGATTGGCAGCAGATGTTAGCTCCGGGCTAATCTTCCTCAAAAAAAAAAAAAAAAAAAAAAAAATTAGCAGGCATGGGATTATGGTGGTTTCTACTTCTCTTTTTTGTTTTCTTCCTATACACTACTTATTGGTATTATGTGACTTCTCTGAACATGTGAAAAGTAGAAGTATTTTTTCAGGGATTTCTTTATAGATGCTGTTAAATTTTAAAGTTCCTAGAGCTCTTATTCAGCTATTTAAGTAGATAATATGAATACTTTCATTGTTTATTTTACAGGCAGATTTTGACAACAAACCAGTAAATGGCCCCAAGTCAGAATCCATGGAATACAGCAGATGTGGTCATGGGGAAGAACAAAGATTGGAGTTGAACCCACATCCCCTTGAAAATGTAACTAAAAATGAAGAAAGCATGACAGGTGTTGAAGTGGAGAAGTGGACGCAAAACAAGAAATCACATTTAACTGATCATGTAAAAGGAGAGTTTAAGGCAATTGTGACAGAAGCTGAAAAACTGAAAAACTCTGATGGTGACAGGAAAAAAGTCCTACTTACTGACCTCCTTGAACCTCAAAAATTGTTTGCACAAACTGTAAGAAATGGCATTAAAAATGTACACTATTTATCAACTGAAACAAATGTGTCTTTTAAAAAATTCAATATTGAAGAATTTGGCAAGGCATTTGAAAACAATTCCTATAAATTCCTGAAAGACACTGCAAATCATAACAATGCCATGAGCTCCATTGCTACTAGTGCGAGCTGTGATCATCTTAAAGGGAGAAGTAATGTTTTAGTCTTCCAGAAGCCTGGCTTTAACTGCAAGTCTTTTTCAGATTCTGCAAACTTCAACTTAAATAGTCATGCCAGTACAACTAACGGAAGTGAGCAACCAAAATCTCTAGAAAATATACCAAGTAAAGAACCAAAAGATGGATCTCCAGTTCAACCAAGTCTTCTATCCCTAATGAAAGACAGGAGATTAACTCTGGAACAAGTGGTAGCCATAGAAGCTCTGACTCAACTATCAGAAGCCCCTTCAGAAAATTCCTCACCATCGAAGTCAGAAAAGGATGAAGAAACAGAGCAGAGAACAGCTAGTTTGCTTAACAGTTGTAAAGCTATCCTCTATTCTGTAAGAAAAGACCTCCAAGATACAAACTTACAAGGGGAGCCACAAAGCCTTCATCATTGTCCATCTTTGGAAAAGCAAAGTTCATGCAACACAGTGGTGTTCAATGGCCAAAACATCATTTCAAAGTCACACAATAGCTTGTCTCCTAACCAAGCATCCACAAAGTCACCGGAATGTTCAAAAATCACAAATTCAATATCTCTTTTTATACCAAATTCAAATTCATCTAAAATTGACACCAATAAGAATGTTGCTTGCGATAAAATTACTCCTGACAATTGTTCCAAGAATTTGCATCAGTTGCCACCAACAAGTAATAAATTGGGGTATTGTAACCAGTCACTGGACAGCAGTAAAAAATTGGACTCAAAGGATGATCCATCATGTCAAGATACAGTTCACAGTAAAATAGAGGAAGATGTTGCAACACAGTTAACACAGCTTGCATCAATAATTAAATTCAATTATAGAAAACCAGAGGACAAAAAAGTTGAAAGTACACCAACAAGCCATGTTGCATATAATGTCCAGCATGTACAGCAAAAGTATAGTCAGGAGAAGGGCACAATACAACAGAAACCACCGTCCAGTATACAAAATAATCATGGCTTATCACTAACAAAGCAAAAGAACACAACCCAGAAAAAGACAAAATCTACCCCATCAAGAGATCGGCGGAAAAAGAAGCCTGCAGTTATAAGCTGTCAAGAAAATGACCAGAAAAAGCAGGAACAGTTGTCATATCAGTATAGCAAGTTACATGACATTTGGATAGCCTCTAAATTTCAAAGATTTGGTCAATTTGGTCCACATGATTTTCCTATTCTCTTGGGAAAAATTCCTCCCCTAACCAAAGTATGGAAACCACTGACCCAAACGAGTTCAGCATTAGAACACAAAAAATTATTTCCTCCACTTGCTCAGATAAAATTTGAGCGATATCCTGAATTAGCACAGGAAAAAATAATGAAGGTTGAACCATTGGATTCTCTCCCCATATCCCAGTTAAAAACAGAATCCAATGGGCAGGCGTTTACAGAAAAAGTTTATAATTCTCAGGTACAGCCAACAGTGAATGTCGATCAGAAAGCTTACCCTGTACTCCAGCCCTCCTCTCCAGCTAACCAGTGTGCTAATGCGATGGCTGGCGATGACCAAACACAGTTCCAGCAGGATGTTAAAGACCAACTGATGCATCAGAGACTGCCAACATTGCCTGGTATCTCTCATGAGCCCCCATTACCGGACCCAGCACAAATTCTCAGGAATGTAAATGTGGTATGTTCAGGTGGAATTACAGTGGTTTCTACCAAAAGTGAAGAGGATGTCTGTTCATCTAGTGTTGGAGTATCAGAATTTTCCCCAGTAGACAGTGCACAGAAAAGTTTTAATGATTACGCCATGACCTTCTTTACTAATTCTACAAAAAACCTGGTGTCCACAACGAAAGATTCCGAATTGCCAACCTGCAACTGTCTTGGTAAGTGTCTGCGTGTGCATTTCTTCTTCATTTATTTGCATTAATTGCCTCAAGTCATGATCAAGTCAAGTTATGGTGTGTCTTATATTTCTGGCATTTTTGCCCCATTCGTATTTGAGCTTGGATTGAGTAAATAATTCTATACTCTTTTTTTCTGTGGGACTTGTATTGATTTTGCTCAGATAAATGGAAAGTTCAGGTCATAATTTGGAAATTTTCTCAATTGGGAAAGTTGCTGATTTCTCTCAGGGCCAAAAGTCTGTCAAGTTGTTTATTGTGCATATCATAAGAATGAGTTCCCTTAATACTTTATTACACTTTATTCTTCCTATATTCAAAAGAATGTCAACTTGTCAGCATTTTGTTTAAAAAAATTTTTTTTTCTTGTGAGGTATAGCATGCATACAGAGAATGTAAGATATACGTACAACTTAACCAATAACTAAAGGGATCGTATAATTGCTACCCCCGTGAAGAACTGCAGTTGGTTTATTTCTTAGTCCTGGTGCTTCCATGCTCTCATATAAACGGTGTGCTCATACATGCAAAAATTCCTTAATCTTGGCCACTTGAAGAATTTGCAAATTATTTGGAGTTTTAAGATATTGAATAAATATTGATTTCCTCTTTCAAAAAAAAAACCCACTAGGTTTGTGCAAATAGCTGAGTCATGGACTGGTTTCTTACTCATGTATTTATGTATTTTGTGCTTAGGAGTCATTGAAAGAGAACATTCAGAAACTAACAATTAGAAGTTTTATAGTATGTCAAAAGCCCTGAGAAAATCTTGCTGGAGTAAAGATTCTCAGGCAGGCCTTATCTGAAATTTGCTCAATATTTGAAACTTGTGGAAGTTTAATTTGAATCCTGTACTGATTAGTCACTGTCTGTGGTCAAATTTCACCTAAGTTCTCAAATATAAGAAGATATTTGTTTCTCTAATATAGCTGTGAAAAGTAGAGAGATTAAATAGATTGTGTCATTAAAGTCTGTGAAGCTTCTTGAAGCCCCATATTTCAGCTTTCATATAACTTAGGACAGGACAGAATTTGTGAAATAACCTGTTTTGACTCCAGATAAGTTTAGTTATTAAAACAGTCTTACTTAAAATATGGCCCCAAATCACAAAGACTCCAGATTTACGTTGAGCAAAGGCAATCCTTTTACTAAAAGCAGGTGATTCTTCCAGAATGGGCAGTTTAAGGATTGTTCAGAAGGATGAAGTATATTCTGATTTTTTTAACCACAGTAGAAAAATTAGTGAAATATAGCAATGACTTAGTTCTTGATTATCCAAAGTACATTTGATATTCTGAAATGAATTCTTCCATTTCTCCACTCACCATTCAACACACAATTTTGACAGCCAACCATGTGCCAGGCACAAGGATGGGCTTTTCTGAGAAGGATCTCACATCTGGAAAGGGTGACAATGCTGTCTGAATGGGGTTGAATTGGGAGAATGAGAGGTTCTTGGGCCCCAGACAGAAGAGTATAATAATGATAATGTCTCCTATTCCAGATCTTTTACTGCAAACCTGATACTCTGCCATGCTCTTGACTTGCTATATTCACAACAAGCCTACAAAGGGGAGGCTTATTATCCCTATTTTACAACTGGGGAAACTGAGTCACAGAAGTACACAGCTAGTAAGTGACTAAACTGGAATTCAGAGACTGGGAGACTTAACATCAGAGCCTATGTTTATAACTTCCATCCTCTGTTGCTTTAAACATCTTAAGTAAAAAAGGGACAGTATTTTTCTGAATGTCATTACAAGTGGAAAAAATATCTCTAATTAAAAATACCATTAAAATGTATGCACCTGAGCTAGCCTAATTTCCCTGCGTGCATAGTTTCAAGGGGATGATGGTCTAGTTTTAAGACCCTTTCTTTGTACATACTAACTAGTCACAGCATAGGAGTTGAGACAGTCATGCTTTCAAAGTTTATTGAATATCTGCAGTGGACCTGGAGCTCCTTTATATACTGTCACTTACGTGTTTTCCTATGATCATTACGTGTGAGGTTATTGTGCTCATTTTGTAGAAGTGGGAACATAAAGAAGAGAAACAAAAAAGCAGATTTCACTCAGAAATCATCCCAAGTGGGAGCATCATATCTAAGGGTAAAGGATTTCCACGGAGGTTATTATGTTCTAGCAAAAGAAGAGTAATTAACTTCTAGATCAGGGTTCCTCAAATTTAGCACTATTGGCATTTTAGGTGGAATAATTGTTGTAGGGGGATTGTCTTATGCATTGTAGGCTGTTTAGTGGCATCCCTGGCCTCTACCCACTAGATATCAGTAACACACACACACACACACACACACACACACACACGTCTGCCTAGTTGTTACAACCAAAAATGTTGCCAAATGTCCCCTTAGGAATAATTGCCCCTGGTTAAGAACCACTGCTCTAGATGATCAAAAATAAGTTAAAATATGTCTTGCTTAAGAAGCCACAGAAGTAATCCTGTGTTATATTTGATGTCCAATCATAATACTTAAATAATGACCTTTTGGTGTAAGATATACAATGGCCAGAAATGCATTCCCCAGTGATTCCAGTTAGACATGATTCTTTTTTTTTTTTTTATTGCTTTTTATTTATTTATTTATTTATTTATTTATTTTTACTAATGTTATGATAGATTACAAGCTTGTGAGATTTCAGTTGTACATTTTTGTTAGTCATGTTGTGGGTACACCACTTCCCCCTCCGTACCCTCCCCCCACCCCCCCTTTTCCCTGGTAACCACCGATCAGATCTCCTTCTCAATATACTAATTTCCACCTATGAGTGGAGTCATATAGAGTTCGTCTTTCTCTGACTGACTTATTTCGCTTAACATAATGCCCTCGAGGTCCATCCACGTTGTTGTGAATGGGCCAATTTCGTCTTTTTTTATGGCTGAGTAGTATTCCATTGTGTATATATACCACATCTTCTTTATCCAATCATCAGTTTCTGGGCATGTAGGCTGGTTCCACGTCTTGGCTATTGTAAATAATGCTGCGATGAACATAGGGGTGCAACGGACTCTTGAGATATCTGTTATCAGGTTCTTAGGATAGAGACCCAGTAATGGGATGGCTGGGTCATAGGGTATTTCTATTTTTAACTTTTTGAGAAATCTCCATACTGTTTTCCATAGTGGCTGTACCAGTTTGCATTCCCACCAACAGTGTATGAGGGTTCCTCTTTCTCCACAACCTCTCCAACATTTGTCGTTCTTGGTTTTGGATGTTTTTGCCAATCTAACGGGGGTAAGGTGATATCTTAGTGTAGTTTTGATTTGCATTTCCCTGATGATTAGCGATGATGAACATCTTTTCATGTGTCTATTGGCCATATTCATATCTTCTTTTGAGAAATGTCTGTTCATGTCCTCTGCCCATTTTTTGATCGGGTTGTTTGTTTTTTTGTTGTTAAGCAGTGTGAGTTCTTTGTATATTATGGAGATTAACCCTTTGTCGGATAAGTGGCTTGTAAATATTTTTTCCCAATTAGTGAGCTGTTTTTTTGTTTCAATTCTGTTTTCCCTTGCCTTGAAGAAGCTCTTTAGTCTGATGAAGTCCCATTTGTTTATTCTTTCTATTGTTTCCCTCAACTGAGGAGTTACAGTGTCCGAAAAGATTCTTTTGAAACTGATGTCAAAGAGTGTACTGCCTATATTCTCTTCCAAAAGACTTATTGTCTCAGGCCTAATCTTTAGGTCTTTGATCCATTTTGAGTTTATTTTGGTGTGTGGTGAAAAAGAATGGTCAATTTTCAATCTTTTGCATGTGGCTGTCCAGTTTTCCCAGCACCATTTGTTGAAGAGACTTTCTTTTCTCCATTGTAGGCCCTCTGCTCCTTTGTCGAAGATTAGCTGTCCATAGATGTGTGGTTTTATCTCTGGGCTTTCAATTCTGTTCCATTGATCTGTGGACCTGTTTTTGTACCAGTACCATGCTGTTTTGATCACTGTAGCTTTGTAGTATGTTTTGAAATCGGGGATTGTGATTCCGCCGGCTTTGTTTTTCTTGCTCAGGATTGCTTTAGCAATTCGCGGTCTTTTGTTCCCCCATATGAATTTTAGGATTGTTTGTTCAATTTCTGTGAAGAATGTTCTTGGGATTCTGATTGGGATAGCATTGAATCTGTATATTGCTTTAGGTAGTATGGACATTTTAACTATGTTTATTCTTCCAATCCATGTACAAGGAATGTTTTTCCATCTCTTTATGTCATCGCCTATTTCTTTCAAGAAAGTCTTGTAGTTTTCATTGTATAGATCCTTCACTTCCTTGGTTAAGTTTATCCCAAGGTATTTTATTCTTTTCGTTGCGATTGTGAATGGGATAGAGTTCTTGAGTTCTTTTTCTGTTAGTTTATTGTTAGTGTATAGAAATGCTACTGATTTATGCACGTTAATTTTATACCCTGCTACTTTGCTGTAGTTGTTGATTATTTCTAATAGTTTTTCTGTGGATTCTTTGGGGTTTTCTATGTATAAGATCATGTCGTCTGCAAACAACGAGAGTTTTACTTCTTCGTTACCTATTTGGATTCCTTTTATTTCTTTTTCCTGCCGAATTGCTCTGGCCAGCACCTCCAGTACTATGTTGAATAGGAGTGGTGAAAGTGGGCACCCTTGTCTTGTTCCTGTCCTCAGAGGGATGGCTTTCAGTTTTTGCCCATTGAGAATGATGTTGGCTGTGGGTCTGTCATATATGGCCTTTATTATGTTGAGGTACTTTCCTTCTATACCCATTTTACTGAGGGTTTTTATCATAAATGGGTGTTGGATCTTGTCGAATGCTTTCTCTGCATCTATTGAGATGATCATGTGGTTTTTGTTTTTCATTTTGTTGATGTAGTGTATCACATTGATTGACTTGCGGATGTTGAACCATCCCTGTGTCCCTGGTATAAATCCCACTTGATCATGGTGTATAATCTTTTTGATGTATTGCTGTAATTGGTTTGCCAAAATTTTGTTGAGGATTTTTGCATCTATGTTCATCAGTGATATCGGCCTGTAGTTCTCCTTCTTTGTGTTGTCCTTGTCAGGTTTGGGGATCAGAGTGATGTTGGCTTCATAGAATGTGTTAGGGAGTTCTCCATCTTTCTCAATTTTCTGGAACAGTTTGAGGAGAATAGGTATTAAGTCTTCTTTGAATGTTTGGTAGAATTCTCCAGAGAAGCCGTCTGGTCCTGGACTCTTGTTTTTGGGGAGGTTTTTGATTACCGTTTCTATTTCCTTACTTGTGATTGGTCTATTTGGATTCTCCATTTCTTCCAGGTTGTTCAATTTGTTGGCATATAGTTTTTCATAGTATTCTCTTATGATCTCTTGTATTTCATTGGTATCTGTTGTGATTTCTCCTCTGTCATTCCTGATTTTATTAATTTGCGATTTCTCTCTTCTTTTCTTGGTGAGTCTGGCTAGGGGTTTGTCAATTTTGTTAATTCTTTCGAAGAACCAACTCTTTGTTTCATTGATCCTTTCTATTGTCTTTTTTGTTTCAATATCGTTTATTTCTGCTCTTATTTTTATTATTTCCCTCCTTCTACTGACTCTGGGCTTTGTTTGTTCTTCTTTTTCTAGTTCTGTTAGGTGTCGTTTGAGGTTGCTTACGTGAGCTTTTTCTTGTTTAGTGAGGTGAGCCTGTATTACGATGAATTTCCCTCTTAGGACTGCTTTTGCTGCATAGACATGATTCTAATAGGCCAAGTTAAAAATACTGTTTTCTAAGAAATATAGAATTCACACTCAAAAAATTCAAATGGTACAGAAATATGATGCAAACCTCTTCTTACAGTCCCCTTCTCTAAATTTAAACCTCTGTTACAGTTTTTCTATATGAATTGACATTATTGCTGATTGTAATTTTCTTTCCAATTTACAAAGTTTAGGTCTTTTAAAACATACTATTTTTGCAACTTGCTTTTTTAACTTAATGGGTGAAATCTTAGATTTTTCCCAGTGTTTGTAAATATCATTGTTTTTATACCTTTATTGTATTCCACTATATAAACATCCCCTAATTAAACTTACTACTTCTTGGCAGATATTAAGGGTGTTTCTCTCTCTCTTTTTTCTTTTGATATTACAAATAAATGTAACAAGGAACATTTTTCTGTGTATTTGCATTATAAATACGTAATTGTGCGAGTGTATAGTAGAATAAATTCTTAGCAGTGCAGTTGCTGGGCTCAATTTTTATACGATTCTGAGGCCAAGCTTTTAAGATGTATTGCTCTTGGATAAATTCTAATTTTGCACCTCAATTATTATGGTTTTTTTTTTTAAAGCAGGAGATAGGAGAATAAATATGACCCACATCTTAAAATATCTTTTTCCTCCTCTGATTCTTAGAGGAAGAATGAATTAGTTAGGATCAGAAAGAAAGGAACAAATTAAATTCCAGGGCCTATTGTCCTAGACTTTAATCATTAAAGCTTACCAAAACCTTGTCAAGATTCATTGTTCTGAATTGAAAAAAAAAAATCAAATTATTAAAAATAGCTCCTCCTTGCCCCTCTGCAATTCTGTAAGGCTTTGGGTCTAATAATCTTATTCCTTCCACAGATCGAGTTATACAAAAAGACAAAGGCCCATATTATACACACCTTGGGGCAGGACCAAGTGTTGCTGCTGTCAGGGAAATCATGGAGAATAGGTGAGGAGATGTGCTTCCCTGTTAAATCATTCATGATTGCGGATCTGACTCAATGCAGAGAATTGTCTCTGGAACAAACATGAGATGAATGGCCTTCAGGAGTATGAGTTGGATGTTTCTTAGGGCCCAGGAAAAGCTTAGTGTCCTGGTGCCCCTGCTGAGTCACCCATCACGTGAGCCATTGGGCACTCAACAGGACACAAAGTAAGGCTGTCTTTGTTAAATTCAGAAATACTTATTTTAATATTGTTGTATGTAGTAGAATAGTTCGAATTATCTTTGTCAACACCGCATTCACATTCCTTTTGCTTGTTTTGGAGCCAGGCCATTTTTTTAACAGTGATCTTAAAGATAAGTAAACAGAACTGGATAACAAATAAAAATAACTGCCACGCAAAATAAATTTTTAACAAAAGTAAATTATGAGGAGTATTTGATTTTTGTACTTCTATAAATCTATGTCATATGCACATTAAGATGTTAAAAGTGTATGTTGCAATTATTTTCCATTCACTGTGTTTTGTACTCAGGTATGGTCAAAAAGGAAACGCAGTAAGGATAGAAATAGTAGTGTATACTGGAAAAGAAGGAAAGAGCTCTCATGGGTGTCCAATTGCTAAGTGGGTAAGTATTTCGTATTTATACATTTTTCAAAAGGGATTTATTCTACCTATAAAATAAATAAATTTTTTTCCCATGAAAATGTGAACTAAAAAAATACCCACTCTTATTATCCCAGGGGAATAATAAGGAAGCTATCTGTCTTAGCCTGGGCTTTCTATGTTAAATGAACAAAAGGGTATAGCCCTTTCCAGTTGTTACCCAGTCATCTTCTTCGTCTTCCCAAGGTCACCTCTTTTACCAGTTTCTTGGGTACTTTTAGAGATCATTCGATACATTTTATAGTTAGATAGCATAAATAAATGGTACTAACATACAGCTTTGATATCTTACTTTTATCAGTTACTGTATTTTGAAGTTCTTTCTAATTTAGTATGCGTAGGTCTGGCTTAATGAGGATCAAGTAATATTGAAAGCAAAACCAAATTTTTTACCACATATTCCCAAAATTGTTCCTGTAACTACTTTGAATTTTCTAAAAATGCAGAGGTATAAGAAGAGAGAACTGGATTTGGCTTCCTCAGGAAGTTCTCAACTGAAAAACAGATTAATAGCCAAATGTATATTTTCACTAGGATATTCACACCCACAGTTTATTTGGAATTCTTGAGATCCCTGTGATATTATTTATTAATAATTATGATGGTCATAATAATAATAAAATAATAAGAATAACAATTGCCTTCTGTTATATATCAAGCACTATGTTAAGAACTTGACATACATTGGCTCATAAATCCTCACAGAAGGACTCTATTATGATTCTGGAAAAGGTAAAAGTCATTATTTTCATACCCCTTTCCAAGAAATTAAAAGCATTAAATGCAAAATGGAGATAGGGCTTGAACACAGGTACTCCTAAAGTAAGACAATTGCCAGACCCTTGGCTACTGTAGTAGACTAGATGTCTTGGTTACTTTTCCACCTATCTCCTTTTGCCCTGCATTTATAGAACATGGATTTAATGGCTGAAGTGCCAACAACCATCTGGAACCACAAATTGACTTGATAGTGGAAGATGTGTACTAGGTTGGTGGGAAGAAAGATAGGAACCTGAGTCCTGATTATTCCAATGGAGTTGTCATGCCAACCCAGGTCTTCTTATATCTGGATCTCTTTTTTTTATTTTTTTATTTTTTAGATTGAGAGGGAGAGCTGAAGGGTAGGGAAGGATCACAATCTGGGTTTTTTTGTTTGGTTTTGGTTTTGCTGAGGAAGACTCCCCCTGAGCTAACATCTGTTGCCGATCTTCCTCTTTTGGTGTGTGAGCCTCTGCCACAGCATGGCTGCTGATGAGTGGGATAGGTCCACACCTGGGAACTGAACCCAGGCCGCCACAGCAGAGTGTGCCAAACTTGACCACTAGGTCACCAAGGCTGGCCCAGATCTGGATTTTTTTAACATGAGAGACAATTCTTTTTTTATTTGTTTAAAACCTATTACTGGGGTTTTCTGTTATGTGTAGTAGAATCAAGTCCCAACTAAGATACCTGTCTTCACTTTTTTACGATGTGGGTGAATTTGGGATGGAAAAAAAACTATTTCAGAATGAGAAAGGTAAGTGAAGGAACTCATGCTTATTGAGGTACTTTCCAGTGCCAGGCCCTGGGCTGCATCCTGAGGATACAAACATGGATTACGATCGCCAATCATTTCATTTTGTGAATGGGAAGAAACAGGCCCAGAGTCACATTAGCCATCTCAGACACATTTGAGACTAGGCTTCCTGGCTACAGTTCACTTCGTCCTCTAGTAACGCTAACGTTTGCTGGGGTCACCTTGCCTCCCAAGAACTAAAGAAAACTTCCTAAAATGCTCCCATAGACCTCTAAAACTTTCCCTAAAATTTCTATTGTGTGAATTATTGGGGCAGTTGGGGCATGGTGGTTGTGAACGGTTGTTTTGTCACTTCCTGGATCACCTTCTTGTCCTGCTATGCGCTGATTTTCACACTGCCAACTCAGCTGTGAAAGTTGCATACTTTCCTCCATTGCCACAAAACACTCACTTGTACAAGTCAATCTCCATGTGTAAGAGTTTTGGTGAAGATACGTTTTAAACAGTAGCCAGAGTGATCTTTATATTTATATTAATATTTTATTTACTCTTTTGAAAAAGTAATAGTTGATTCAAAACTTTTTCAAGTAGGAAATTATATAAGGACCACCCATTTTTCTATTAGATTATTAGTCTTCTATTGATCTTGTAGGAGCTCCTTTAGAAAATTGACCATTTGTGATAAAAGTTGCAAATATATTTCCTCAGTTTGTCATTATTTGTGATGTTCATAGTTTTTAAATGAAATTTTAAATTTCTTAAAAAATTGAAAATATGGAAAATGTCTTCATCTTTTATGGCTTTAGTGTATTGTATCTTAATTAGAAAAATATTTACAGCTTCACCTTATAAGTAATTTTCCCATTTTTCTTTTGGTAGCATTTTAATGATTTCATTTTTCCTGAGTTTGACCATTTTGTGTGTAAAATCTTAGTGACAACATATTTCTCCAGATGACGACCAAGTGATCCAATACCACTTACTTAATTGTTCATCTTTTCCCTACTGATTTATGTTAGTTCATACTAGTAGATTTTCTAATCTGTTATGTCAGTGTTACATCTCTCCTCTATCAGCATCAAATTACTCTATTTAGGTTTTATAATATGTTTTAATATCTGATAGAGCTAATTCCTCCTCCTTTTAGTTTTTCAGAAATTTCCTGACTACTCTTGCCTTGTTTATGTTTCCATATGAGTTTATGATCACCTTGTCTAATTGAAGAATAAAGTCCTGTTGGTATTTTTATTGGAATCATATTACACAGAGAATTTGGAGAATTTATGTATTTTTGATGTTAGTCTTCCTATCCTGCTTTCTATACCTTTCTGTTTGCTAAGACTTCTTTTGTCCCACAGGGGTGCTTAAAATTTTCTTCCCATGGAGTTTACATGTTTCTTGTTTTCCAGTATAGTTTTCTTGTATATATCAGATGTACAGTCATGTAATCTGTAGTGATGAATTCATATTCTCTTTTCCAAATTTTATGCTATTAATTCCTTCCTTTCATTTACTACAGTTAGTCTAACAGACAAACCCCAATTTTATACTGCTTTCAGTATGGCCACCTTATCTTGTTTCTCTTTAGTGAGAACCTTCCAGGGTTTTCTCATTATGAATGGGTCATCAGGGAAGGCCTCTCTGGAAAGGGAACATTTAGGCTAACAACAGGGTGACCAAAAGGAGCCGAGTATGCCAAGAATAGCCCCAAGAATGCAGGGAAGAGCCTTCCTAAGCAGAGAAAACAGCAAGTACAAAGTTCAAGGAAGAGAGTATATACTTTAATGATCTAAGAGGAGTTCAGGGGCCGGCCCTGTGGCACAACAGTTAAGTTCGCATGTTCCGCTTCTCGGCGGCCCGGGGTTCACCGGTTCGGATCGCGGGTGGGGACATGGCACCACTTGGCAAGCCATGCTGTGGTAGGCGGCCCACATATAAAGTAGAGGAAGATGGGCACGGAAATTCGCTCAGGGCCAGTCTTCCTCAGCAAAAAAGAGGAGGACTGGCAGTTAGCTGAGGGCTAATCTTCCTCAAAAGAAAACATAGAGGAGTCCAGTGAAGTTGAGGAAGTAGAGGGTGGAACCGTGTAAAAAGGTAGGCAGAAACCAGAGCGTGTGTGTCTTTGTAGGCCATGGTGAGGAGTTTGGGTTTACTCCATGAACAACATGAAGCCTTTGAAGTATTTTAATTAGGGATGTGTTATCTATCTTGTTTATGTTTTATAAAGAGCATTCTGAGGAATTAAATGATAAAATCTGTATTAGTTACCTGTTGTTACTTAAAAAGTTACTCCAAAATTTAGTAGCTTTGAAAAACAAACATTTATTATCTCATAGAGTTTTCGTGGGTCTGGAATCTGACAGTTGCTTCGTAGGGTGCTTCTGGAAGAGGGTCTCTCATGAGGTTGCAGTCATCTGAAGACTTGACTGGGAACAGTAGGGTGGGGCTGGAGGGTCCACTTCGCAGGGCATATGTAGGAGGTTTTAGTTCCTCCATGGCTGTTTGCTGGAGGCCTCGCTTCCTTGTCATAGGAATTCTTAAGTGTTTTCTCATGTCATGGTACGTTGGTTTCCCCCAGAGTGAGTCAATCAAAAGAAAACCAGGAGGAAGCTACAATGTCTTTTATGATATATTAACCTTGGAAGTTGCTACAAGTGAGCCCTATTCATTGTAGGAGGGGGCATGAACATGGCCGCTGGCTTCCCTAGAGTGGGTGATCCAAAAAAGAGCAAGGTAGCTGGGTTAAATGGTGGGATTTTTGATAATTCTTCCTTCCTGCCTTTCAAACTTTCCCTCACGTAATAATAATAATTACACTGATAAAATTTTGGTATATACTTCTATTTTTTTATGAAGACAAATATGAAGTCTGCAACTTAAGGATTTCAGTAGCAACTTTCTGTTAAAGTCCTATTATTGGTTTAAGTCTTCTTTAAGTGTTCTTAGATACAAAGAAGAGTATTTAACATTTTCCATGAAGCAGCTGTAGCAAAATTACTTTTTTATTTTCCCTTTTGCAATATTTCTTTCAGAATAAATAGAACATTTCAATATATAGTGATATATAGCTGACATTTTTCACAAATACAAAAACAATCCAGAGATAAGGAATGAAATAAAGCACAGTTGCTAAGCAACTTAACAAAAATTTTGATATCTACTAATGACAATTAAGAAGCGTAATCTAGGGGCCGGACCCCTGGGGTGAGTGGTTAAGTTCACACGCTGTGCTTCGGCCGCCCAGGGTTTTGCCGGTTTGGATCCTGGGCGCGGACATGGCACCGCTCGTCAGGCCACACTGAGGTGGCGTCCCACATGTCACAACCAGAGACACTCATAACTAGAATCTACAACTATGTACTGGGGAGCTTTGGGGAGAAGAATTAAAAAAAAAAGAAAGTGTAATCTCAATAACAAAACCAAGAATTGATCCTTTATATCTGTAA